GGAAAGAAACAATTGCGCTGTTTAATGTATCCAAGTCCATATGCCCTGACAACACAAGATGTTTTAAAACACATTTGATTTCATATGGGGCAACACCTTCAAGAATAACATGCATGATATCTTGTGGGGTTTGATTGATTATATCAAAGTAAGGACATTCTGTTAATTTGCTTCTCCTGTTTACACCATAAGTTGTTTTTAGACTCTCTCTCAGAAAGTCAGTGGTTGCCTTTTCAATGTCGTTACATTGCTTGTTGTGGTTTGAAATTGTCCTTTTAACAAACATATCTTCATTAAATTGTTTCTGCATGTTTTCAAAGTTGCACTCACAGTGCCTGCATTTACTATAGGCAAACCCTACTCCTTCCTTAAATCCAGCCACTTCATGCTGAGCTAGTGTGTCTCCACATACAGACAGAAGTGCTCCATAAATTGTCCTCTCACCATTTGCAGTATTAATCTGCACACCATCACACAGCTTGAGTAAGTCATGTTGAATTCTCTCAAATATTGCATCAATACCGCAACGAGAACGATCTTTTGATTTTACCATGACAAGAAGACGAATTGCAGCAAGTCTTGATCTGTATTTAGGGCTGATGTTACCTAAGGTGTAATAAATCATTAACAATTTGTTTTTGTTTGACCGTGATCCAAGAGGATTGCATAGCTCAATTTCATCTGTATAAAAAATCAACTGCAATGCTTTAGGAACTTTCAAAAACAGTGGGTGTGACTTAAAAATGTCTCCATCAACAAAATCTTGAAAAAAGCCATCATTGCATTGCTGTTGCCCTTCATCAATCATTGCAAGAACTCTCGGATGGGATAGCAGTTGCTCCAAACTTTTCACCAGCGGTACATAATGAAAACAATGGTCCTTGGTGGAAAGAACTCTGGAGTCCCCATGTTTCACATAACATACAGTTTGTTTTGCAACAACAATCTCAGGTTCAACTGGTTGTAGCAGTTCTTTGATAGTTTTATTCTGCAAATGAGTAGAAGAAATTTGACTGAAAGGGTCAACAAACTTGTCAAAAATCCCTAATGCACCACTCCTTAGTTCATCCAGGTCCCCAGAATGTCCTTCAATCAAGCTGCACATTTGCTGTTTAAGGTGTTCCAACAACACTGCCTGGTACTGCTGGACTCCACTCACCATATGGTTAACAGCCCTCTGAATAGAAAAAAAAATATATATATATATTAAAATTTATTAGAAAATACAATAAAATGCAAACTCATGGACACAACTTTGTAAGGATCATTCATTTAAATATTGCTGGTGACATGAAAAGACCAAAACTTTACCAAAGTTCTAATGGTTTCTGCATATTTATGAATATTTACAATTGATTTTATACTGCATTTTAAACAATAAGTGTACATGTGTATACTCTGTTTCCTCTATTCTTAGCCTATGCTCAGCAAATACATTGAATGAAGAGAGTTTATATCTTATCTATTGACTTATATATTGGGTGGTTATGTGAAACACAAAGTCACTCAAATAGCAAGTGGAGAAACATTCTTATTGCGTTTCATTTTACCTAAAGTAAAATCAAGGTTTGAACAGTGTCCAAATACAATTTGAATTATTGAAACTACCTGTGTCAGTCGCTGTGTTTCTCTGGCTTGAAGGAGAAAAGCAGTTGCATGTTTCGAAAGGTCCAGATTCGTGTGACCCTCTCCACCCTCTTGAAATTTGCTCTGAAAAAGATTACCGAAATAACCACATCAACAAAGAATATACTGGTGGGTAGCAGACACTCGAACAGTAAATACCGGACCTTTAAAGAGAATAATATAAAATTGTGTGTGTTGTGTAAAAGTGAATATTTTATAAAGATGATCAGATGTACCACCAGTTACTACCAGTGTTGAGCCACTTACTGAAAATTACAAACGTTAGTTGCTAGTTTTATATAAAAAATACAAATTAACTTTTTTAATTGCTGCATCTTGTAACATTTAATTTGAAAAAAAAATGAAACTGCAGTACTTTTAAATACATGGCAATATTGTCTTCATAAGGTGTAAATACACAATGCTTAATATTATTTTTAATTTATTAATTTTTCTTGATGTGTAATTTGAACGCATCATGATTTCTTATTTACCTCAGCCTGATCACATTTTAACAAACCGTCCCTGAACGCTTCATATGCAACACGAAGATCAACTTCTTCCGTTTCCAGCCTGTTATAAACAATAACTAGCGGGATTTAGTCATAAATTTGGATGATCAGAAAACTACTCTGACTGGACTGCAGTGAGTGTTTCTACCTCTTCTGCTCTCATCCACATTTCATCTAAGGTAAGTAATTACAAAGTCTCTTAATGCATCCTGTGTTCAGATAACTACCTTCACATTATTTGCCATGAGTAATGTAATTAAGGCATAACATAACTCATTGGTTTGTTGTCACTGAAAGAAGCAAACTGTACTTGATGTGCTATGAGCAGCCAGCTGATCTCAATAAATTACTTACTGTTCCGATGACGATGCTGGAGCCATTGTTAGCTGACGTTACTGCAGAATGCGCTGCAGCCCCGGGTAGAGTTGTGCTTGTTTGTTCGTTCTTGGCTGTTCTTTCATTTACTCCATCAAAAGTTGATTCGTCCTCGTCTGCCTCAATGTTGAGAAGATGGTGTGTGTGCGTCCGCTTTACGTGATAGTAAAAGGAGTTATACACTCTGTACTCACTTGGACAGCCATCAATCCCACACACCACACGAAAGTCAGGACTCCGACTATGCATGACGTTAATGTGACTCAAAAGTTGTCTCAAAGACAACGCCACAAATACGTAGCAAATAAAACAGCGCCAAATCATGTTGGATCAGAGATTTTCGTTGGTCAAAGGATCAGAAAAGGTGCTGTCGTACTACTGTGTTGATTGTCGCAAAAAAGCCGTTACTATGGTGATACCCGCCCACCAGCAAAATTACCGTAAATCTCAAGTACGATAAAATTATTTGTAAAGAGTTTATGTCTTTGTAATGCGCATTACACATTCCTATCGATGTTTAATCGTGTTTTTATTGCTCAACGTTGCAGCTGACGCGAAATAAAAGAAGAAGCTGGGCGAGCAAGCTAGCTAGGAATTAGCTAACAGCATGGATGAGCTAGATGATGCGGTTGTGTCGACGTTAAGAGGTAACGTATTTATACAAAGTTGTTTATAATGTAGACTGAGACATGGAAAAAAGTTGTTGTAATGATCATACCAATATTACATAAAAGTTTTTACGTCTTTAGTGGCGTGTGTGTGTGTGAGAGCAAGCGGTAGAGATTTTAATGCTGCTGTAGGGGAGTGCTATGTTGCTAATGCTAACTGGACATTGGCCTGCACTGCACATTCTCCACCGGCGCCAAAAGAGAAAAACTGAATTCCGCTACATTTGGCTATAAATTATTAAAAATATTGCAATAATACAATAGAGAGAACACTACTCTTTTATGAGTTGCTGTTGCTGTGAACATTAATACATATCTCAGTTAATACCAACAATACCACTTTATTAAAACTTAATAACAATACAATTTTAAAATCAATAATACATGTAATTGTTATTGCTGGTTTGTCTCTAAATGCATGTCTCCCATCCATTCGTACAGCTACTTTGAGACAGCAACAAAAATGTGTTCAGTTAGCTGCAGATGTTAATTTAAATTAGATTGAACTATGAAATTTCAGATATCAAAGAAACTTCTAAATTTTCAAAATTTATAAACTAAACAATTTTACTGGTTTAAAACAATATTAATGTTAAAAAATGCTTTGTTGTGGCTAGTACAATTAAGAAAAAGCTAGTACTGTGTGCAATGTGTGCTGAATGCATAGTTTAATGGTATTAAGGTTTCTTTATTGTATCTGGTTTGTTAACAAATTTACTTTAAACAGTCTCAGACCTCCATCTAAAGGCCCTTTGCTACAGCTTCTTCTCAAACTATGTAGCTTAACAACTGAAAAACCAAGTTTATGTTTAGTCTTTTCTTCTTAATCTGGATGTGTCAAGTTTCATCTTTGTTTTCAAACACATTCTCAGCTGCAAACATCAGTGAGGCAATGATGGGCAACCTGTCTCGTGAAGACTTGCGGGACCTTTTCCCAGGACCAGAGAACTTTTTAAGAAGAAAAGCGATCTGGATTGCTTGTCATGGTGCATCAGAGGAGGTCAGTTTCTCTGTGACATAGACTTAAAAACAACCTATTTCAGTTGGCTGTGGCACTTTGGGTTGATGTAGTATATTGCCAAAACTATGCACTGCAAATGTTTTTGTATATCAGTAACAAGTCAGTTACAGTGCTTTACATGAACAAATCATAAGAAAAAAAAATATTGGAAAAAAGTCAATTGCAGTGGTGTAATAACAGAAGGTAAAGAAACATTGGACTATAACTACAGTTAATGATGTTTTTGTTTTCCGTTTAAATAGAACAGTGAAAGACAAATCTAAGAAACTTTTTTTTTTGTCTGAATAAAAAAAAAATCATCATTTCGGCATTTAAAGTTCTTTTGGAGTTTGTTCCAGATTAGTGGAGCGCAAGAACTTAATGATGCTTGTTAATGTTTGGTTCTGACTCTGGGGATACAAAATAGTTCCAAATGGGTCACACCACCATATCAGTAAATTTGGATGTGTTACAATCACTTCCTTGGGTGCAGGTATCTAAAATTTGGTGAGACAAACCTGACTGACCTGCACACAGTCCCGACTTCAACTTTCAAAGTAGTGGACCCTATGTATTAACAACATGATTGTCAGTAAAGTTAATGTACACAGACTAATACTTCTGACAATGTAGTGTAACAGTATCAGAACACAATGTTTTGTTTTGCATTGTTTTTGTTTGTTTGTTTCTGTACAGGATTCTGGTAAAGAAGATTCAACTTTAGTGAGCTGTTCCTCCAATAATGGGTCACCTATGCAACAGACATCCACTCCAATGAAGTCCAGTCTTCCCAAGTTTGAAACTCCTGAAAAGGTTGTGAAATTAACCTTTCCAGAATATGTACTCCACACTGACACTGAGCTTGAGCACGTAAGACAACAGTACTTTGAATTGTCGAAGAAAGGGGAAGAGCGCAACTGTGAAATGTCAAAGGAACTCAGATGTCGTCTCATCCGAAACACGATGACCAGTATGATTGCAATCTTGAGGGCAAAAGGAGATGCAGAATCACACAGATACCCATCAAAACCTGAAATCACAGCAGTGGCTAAAAGGATAGTGCTGTATTACCCCATGCTACAGGACCAAGGTCTGAAGAATTCATGGGTAAGTGAAATGCATCCAGTTAATGACCAAAGTTTTTTTTATTTTGCACATTTTTATTGAGGATCTAAAAAATGAAATGTATGTGTTCTTAAGGTCACTGTGTTTGCGCAACTAAACAAAAGATTGCAGAATGTGAGGTCCCCTCTAAAGAAATCTCAGAGTGGGAAACAATCAAAGAGGTAAAGCTGCAACAATTAATTTCCTCAATAATAAATATGTCATTAGCTTTAGTAGACTTTAACATATGTTGGCCAGCATTTGTTGGAAGTGATTAATTGGCTAATCTTTGCAGCTCTTCAAAGAGACGCCGTCTTGATGAGCCCTATGATACAGATGAAGCCATGTCGAGCGACTCAACAATCATTCTGGACCAGTCTACAGATGAGACTACCAGCACCGACTCAGGCACTACTGACAAGGAGTTTGTTGAATTTAGTTTTGTATTTATTTTGTCTTGTTTTTATTTTGTTTTGTTTATCTTCCACAATCTGAATATTAACATTATGATTCATCATGCCAACAGAAATATGTCTTTATGTGTTTCAGGAAAAACAAGACCCCAAAGCCCCCAGAAGCTCTCCCTCTCCTGTCCAGTTCTAAGAGTGAGTTTGTCTTACTTTATTTTGGGGGTGTGGTACTTGTGTTCCTCAATGCAACGATGATAGCACAACGAGATTCTCATTACTGTATTTTAGTGTTGTAATAGTAATTACAATTTTGGGTTGTTCATATTTGAATAATTTGACTTTAATATAATTTATCAAATATTTAACTACACAAAATGGATTGTATTAATTAAAAAAAAGGTTGTCATATTACGTTAATTGACAAAAATCTGTTGTTAAATTGAGCCACATTATGTGTTACAGCTAACAGGCCAACAGATGTTGAAAGCTCATACAACTACAGTCCAGCAATCTCGGCCAAGCACTACAGGACCCTACAATCGTTGTATAAAAAAAAGAATCCAAACCACCAGGATGTGTCTCATCTCCTGGATTTGGAATTTCAAGCCAGAAGAGCATTCATTGATTCACATAGTTTTCGTGAGGAGGACAGACACAACAAAATCATAGAAGCATATCCTTGTTTCAAGGACATTGGACATGTAAGAATACTTTGCATTCTTAAATGCTTGATATAACTTGCAATGTTTAGACAATTTCCTTCTCCTAGATAAATATTCTAATATCTGAATTGGTGTATTGAACATTGAATAGGTCATGGATGAGCTTCAACGCATTCTGAACAAAGATAACCCATGCTACATAGCTGAACTAAAGGGACGATGGAAAGACTTCTGCCAGAAGGTGCAGTTTTTTGGTGTATGGAAAAAAATGCTGAAACTACCAATGGGAGTGGACAAAGGTAAGCAATTACATTTTGGTATTATCTGTGATCAGGGTTTAATTGTGTCCATGAGTTTTGGACTTTTAGCTATTTTTTTATTTATGTTATTTTTGCTTTATGATGACTAAGGGTGTAAACAGGTCTTACAAGGTTAAAATGAGTATAGAAAGCAGTCATTTCTTAAATGTTTTCGTATAAATTGATCAGATTTGAACGTGTGTGCATTGTAAAGCTGTTTTTTTTTACCCAATTGTACCCAATCTTTTCCTGTACAGCTGAACAGGCTCTAGAGATCCTTCATGTCCTGCCATCGCTGTTTCCGTCGGCGTCTGCTCCTCCAAAACGAGTACGCGAGGCAAGTGAGGCTCTGGTGCATGTCCTTGAGGTGAGCTGTGTGAAATGTTCCTGGATAATTTTGAGTTAAGTATTAGAAAATCTATAAGGAGCCTCTGATTTCCTAAATTTTTCCTTTTTATCTCTTCAGAGACACCCAAAACAGTTGTTTTTATAAATATAGTTTTCACTAGGTAAATGTTAGTGCTTATTTGTGTCTGTTTAAATGTGTTATGCAGCATGTGTTATCCCCTCAATAAAAACCAACCAAGGCTAGCGTAACACTCATTTTTCTTTTGGGAAAGTAGACTGCAGTAAATGTATTTTGCATAGTTACAGGGATCGATGAGTAACATTAGACTTTATTTGATAAACATATATTTTAACTGTAAAATACATACTGTAAAAATACAGTACGCTGTTTAGTTTTTATATTTTTAAAAAATATATATTTTAATACGGATGGAGCCATTTTATTTACACACAAAGCATTCTGGGTAAATGATGACGTGGATAGGTCCTCGGTGTGAGCGAGCTTTATTCACCCTGAATCTTTGACAATATGTAACGATCGACTCTTTTAAATGAAACCAGAGAGCGTTGACAGTGAGGAGAAGGTAGAAATGACTCAGCCTTTTACTGAAAATACAGATGGAGGCCAACAGAGCTGCTTCATGGAAGAAGAACCTCAGCCTGTTAGCATTCGTGCTAGCGCAGACACTATATTGCCTTAAATGGGTTAGCTCAGCGCTAGCGCGACACAAGCTAAACTGAGGTCCTCCATCCATATTTTCAGGCTGAGTCATTTTTGCTTTCCCCTGTCTGTCATGTGGATGGAGGACCTCAGTGACGAGAGGAGAATGTGTAGCGCTGAGCTAATACATAAGCTAACAAGCTGAGGTTCTTCTTCCATGAAGCAGCTCTGTTGTCCTCCATCTGTATTTTCAGTTACAGGCTGAGTCATTTCTACCTTCTCCTCACTGTCAACGCTCTCTGGTTTCATTTAAAAGAGCCGATCATCTGATATTGTCAAAGATTAACCTTCAGAGTGGATATAGCTCGCTCACACCAAGGACCTATCCACGTCATCATTTACCCAGGATGCTTTGTGTGTAAATAAAGTGGCCCCATCTGTGTAATATATTTTTAAACTTTTAGTTTAAAACTTATAAAAACTGAACATTCTACAGTATTTTTAGTCTTGCTTTCACAGTTAAAATATATGTTTATCAAATAAACTCTGTTATAATCATGGATCCCTTAAAAAACAGCTACTTGAGTTGTACCTTCAACCTCTTTCAAAATTTTACTGGGTTTGTATCAACTCTCTGCTTCAGGTTCTTAAATAACCAAGTGATCCTGTATGTCTTACTGACAGAAGGTCTGTTTCTTTTTTTTTTTTTTTTTTTTTTTAAGGAAAATGAAGACCCTGATGCCTATTTGAAGAAGCGCCCTCTCTCCTGTCCAATTCTGATTGTGTGTTCATCCAACTGCCTGCTCGCGGTAGGAGACGTGCCCATCACAACATTTCCGAAAGACAAGGTTGATGAGGGGGCTTTATACCTGATGGCATACTATTATGCCCTGCATCTTACTTACCCAAAGTGTGTGGCCACTCTGCTGTCAGTCATACAGACAGAGGTCCTTTTGGACCAAATCCATGAGAGAGATCTAACATCATCCTACAAAAAGAGCATGGCCGAATGGAAAACTTTTATTGACCAGTAGTGGCCATTGCAGTAAGCTAGTTATTTGACTGGCGTAACAGTTCATGTTCAGAATTTTGGTTGTTTACCCATTAAATGTTGCTGAAATAGCATTATGAGTGCATGAAAAATATTGGACAACATGACTCTACTTCATTTTATGTTGCAACAATGCAATTCTTTGAACATTTTGAAAGTTTAAATTTGAACATTTTATGTTTATACATTTTAAGTTGTAACTGTGAGTGGCTCCCTCATTTTTCATGGTGCCCAACAGTATACTCTTCATTTTTCATAGCAAAAATTGTTTTTATTTTGTTGAGGGTGTTTTATATTATTTTTTAAAAATATAATCAAGTGTTAACTAATTGGGATGTTGCATTGCTGCTGAAACCAAAAATAAATGTGTTGAAGTTAAAGGATTTCATTTTTTGACATTATAGAAAATGTTTGAATGTTTTGACAAGACATGCAGTTATTATGTTTGTTGGTTAAATTTGATGACGGGTTGGAGAAAATAATGTTGCGTTGTCAGGATTTCTTATATAAGTTTTCTTAAAATACAATTTCTAATCTTATTTTAGGTAGGCTTTGAAACATCTGTAGAAAAGTTTTAGGGATGTAAATTAATTTGAAGCATCACACGCTTACTTTAAGACAAAGCCCACAATTGTAGTAAGATATTGCTAAGAATGAGATTTTTGCAGCTAGGTTTAAGATTGTTTATCTTGTAAAATGATAAAATGTCTTACTTTTAAAAATCGTTTCTAGAAAATTTTCACTTGTTGGCAGATCTTTTTGCTTATTTCAATCAAAAACAAAATTCAAATTTTAAGTTGTTTTAAACTTGTTTTCGGAATAGATTTTTCTCCATTGTACTACTTTTGAGCATCAGAATCTTATTATAAGACACGAATAGCTCAATTGTAGTTAAATATTGCTCAAAATTATATTTTTATAGCTAGTTTCAAGATTCCGCTTATCTTGTTTGACTTGAACAAAATGTCTTATTTTTAGAAATCTTGTCGAGAGAATTTTCACTTGTTCCATTGGCAGATTTTTTTGCTTATTTCAGACATAAAAATCTTATTTTAATTTTTTTTTACTTATTTTTGGAGTGGCCTTTTTTCCAGTGTAATATAAAGTTCTAGCGTTACGGAGAGCTTTTTTATAAGTTAGCAGACTATCTTCCCAAGTTAAATAAAATTCTTCAACATTAGTAGAGCGCCATTTTCTCCTGGTTTCTAGATGCCTGCTTTAAAGTACGTAACTCAGAATTGAACCAAGGAGCCAGTTTCCTCTGATTGATTACTTTCTTTTTCAGTGGAGCAATTTTATCAAGTGAAGTTTGCATTGAAGTTGTAAGATGATCAACTAGATGATCTAAGTCACTGTTCTCTGATGCATTACTCTGCAAGACAGAGGAAAACATTGATGGAAGAGATCGTTTAAATTTGGTTACAGCATTTTCTGATAAGCACCCGCTGAGATGAAATTTACTCTGTGACTGTGTAGTCATTTAATGTAAACTCAAAGGTTATTAAAAAATGGTCGGACAGAATAGGATTTTGAGGAACTATTACCAAGTCCTTAATCTCTATACCATAGGTCAGAACTAAATCAAGAGTGCAATGATAAGAATGAGTAGATGTGCGGACGTTTTGGGTAAAACCAAATGAGTCTATTAAATTATTAAAGGCTATGCTTAAGCTATCACTTTCAACATCTACATGAATATTGAAATCACCCATTATGATGATTTTATCAGTATTTAATAATAAGTCAGTTAATAAT